AAGCCAGAATCAGAAAGCATTCGAAAATCACACAGAAACTCAGTTTACAAGAGCGATAGATTAAACAATGTTTTTGGAGCTCGAACGCCTCTTGGGGGTGACCTTCGGGCCGTCTTCGGGCATCTGGCGGGGGCCAAGGCTAGCTGGATGCCATACTGGACTGTCTTACAGGTCTCTTGGGCCTTTCGCCGAGCGCTTTGGGACTGCCAACCGCCTGCGCGCACGCGTTGGCAGGGGTTTCCGCCCCCTCTCCCGCGCCGCGGATCCGGGGGGGCCTCGCTTCGGGGGGGGGGTCCCACCCCCCGGATTATAAAAATATAGAAAAGGGAATATTCTGCGAGTGGACCAGCGACCTCGGGCCAAAAACCCAAAACTTCGCACTCTTCGAGGAGGCGCACAGGGCTGAGGTCGGCACGGCGACGACAGGCACTGCAACGATAGCAGCCACCGAAGGCACAACAAGCTGACCGCGCGCTCCGCCCCGAACCCCAATCGCGCAGGAGGGCCGGCAATGCCGAGGAAGAACGGGGCAGATGCTCGAGCGCAGCAGGGTCCCGACCACAAGAAACCTCCAACAAGAAACCCAACCCTGAGACCCCAGGACGCCCATGGATTTTTGACGTGGGAGCGCCACGTTTTCCATTGCAAAAACATCGAAACCCAAGAAACCGAGGGCACCCTGGAGACAAGCGGGGCGTTTCTCGGCATTGGCCCCCGCTGTAAGTGAGCGGGGGCCTGCCATGATGAAGCTGCAGATCGGCCGCCCTCCGCCGTTCCCCCCCCGAAAAAAACAGGCCCAGCGCCTCCTGGGATTAAAAGCCCCGCGCGCGGGGTGGGACGCCCCAACAACAACGAACTGGCGCTGATACTTATGTTGCTCCCATCGTACTCAAGGACCACATCCCCGAAATAATTTCGAGCACCCCGAAAAGTATCGAAACAATGTCGAGCAAGTATCGCCTCCCAGGGCCAGACGCGTGAAAACCCACCAGTTTCGGTACACTCTTGGTGCTCGAAATTTTAAATGGTGATCAAAGCTAAACTGGGTTGGACCATCATGAGCCGATGCGCGCCTGAGTCGTAGCCACGGTCGCGCGGCAACTGCATGCGTGTTAGAACCGACCACGCCTCTGCTGACGCGCGCGACAAAGGCATCGGGAGGCTGGAAGAGCATCTGACGCAATTCTTCGGTCCATTCGCAGTAAAAATATACCAGAAACGAAGGACTGCGGGCCACGAAATACACTGCGAAGGCATAGAAACCCACGGATGTGGTGGCACGGTCCCCCCACTGAGCGCGCGACAGCATGTGCTCGCGGGGCTGACTGCACCACTGCCGGCGTTGCAACTCATGGGCCGGACCGAAACTTAAGTGCTAACCAGTTGCCCGATGAGGTCACCCAGGCAGAAGAGCAGATGGAGCTGATAGAGACCGCTCGAGGTCACACCAGAGCACAAGCATTGCAGAATAACACAAACCATGATGATAGCGGTGCGGTGATCTGCGGGCGCACATGACGCCCCCCCTAGGGTTGCCCCCTCGCGCACACGTCGGCCTCCGGACGGCTTTGGGGCAGCCAAATACTACCCGAAGACTCCAGGGCCACCCAAAGACCACACAAAGACCACCCCAAAGAAGGCCGAACAAGCCCCCAAGATTCCGCCGAAATCCCTAAGAAACTCCAAAAGGTCCCAAGAGACACCCGAGGAGGCTGGCAGCGAGACCCCACAAGACAAATAGCCCAAATGAAAGCATGAAGAGACTCACGGCTTACGCCGCTTGCTTCCTAGGTTTTCAGCGTCGGAGCGCCGCGGGAAGGCATCAGAGAGCCTCGCGAAGCCCCCAACGCAGCCCAAAAACGGCTCAACGACGGCCAAAGATCTCTGACCTAGACATAAGGAACGACCCGACACCTGAGACCTTCCTGAGCCCGAAGTGGCCTTCATGTCACCGTCACGGCTGTAGCCTACGAACAAACGAAACTGCCGTCGCCGGGAAGCCCGCGCCCCTGCAAGGGAAGCGCGCGCGCAGATCGCGCGCAGGCCCTCGAAGAAGGCCGGTGCCAGTCAGTGCGGAATTGCGCCAGCAACATTTGAAGCATGAAACATCTGCACAAAACGTCGCGAGGCCATCGCCGAGCGTGCTGCAAAAAGACACGGTCACTCTCGCGCCACGCACTAGCATTCGATGCCTCGTGCGCCCACGAATTTCAACCAGCATCCTGTGCTTATCCTACCACATCGTCCTCCAATACATTAAACTGGCCGGGCTGGGAACGGATTGGGCACCTGTTTGTCCCTCTTGATTCTTCGCCCCACCAAGAGCGGCCCCTCTATTGAGTCATTCGTTTGGTCCACCGTGAACCCGCCATATTGGTTGTATACCAGGCCCATTTCCGTTCAACTTGCAAAAAATCTTCCACCTAACATGTAACGCCTGCCTTCCGTGCGTCATCCTCGGCAACTCGCGTCGCTTTCCGCATCCACGATGCGAAATCTTCTTCTGGATATCCCAAGTCCTGCAGGCCGCACGAGCATGCACCGCCGCATGCTTCTCCAGGTTTTTCTTCGACTGTCAGATCCCATGCTTCCGCGCACAAAGGTGTTGTCCCTGATACGGCCGTATCGACCCACTGCACCGCGCTGGCTTCAGAACAAAAAAATGTTTAATCAATGCTCCTGGCAAGCTGGCAGACTTGGGCCAGCCGGACGGCGCCCTGTTGTAGAAATCGAATGATAGATCACCACCAATTGTAATAATACTTGCGCCCAAAATGGGTAAACCCAGCTCTAGAACTAGCAAGTGGGCACGCTTGTCTGGTTAAATAGGCCTTCCTGTTTGGGGGGGTCAATTTTCCAAGAACGCTGCACGCTGAATTTGCCCGCATCCATCGGCAACCCGATGTTTACGAGCCGGCCGCGCATGGCAACCAACATGTTCGATGAAGCATGTTTAAGCATGGCCGCACGCGTAGTGTCATCAACAAGCATGGCATAAATCATCTGGCCCTTTTGCCAGGTACGGCTGCACTGAGGCGCTCCCGTGCCCCTTGTTTCCCCGCAACTTTCTCAAGTATACCATCGTCCTGACGTATTCGCAGATAGTGCCGGTGGCATCGGATCTTCCTATCGAACGCCACAATAATGTAATAAGATGTACTGCGTGTGTTTGGGCCAAGCTGAAAAATACCCCCGCTGATTTTTGCCCAAGTCCTCTATAGCCCACGGAACAACATCGTTGATCCCGGTTGTATACAAACCCGCACGCAAAGCCGCTCGCATGATCTTGCCATATGCTTCCCCGGATCTATTTACGCCACTCAAAAATTGCCCCCCCATTCAACGCTCGTCTCGCTGATCATATGCATGCAGTGGACTAGGTCGGAACACCCGTATCCCTTGCGAAATCCAAGTTCTTCCAGCGTTGTGAGTCTGTTGCCTCGAAGACACGCTGTTATACTGTTATACATGTGCTCAAGACCGGGATGATCGTGCTGGGCCTGCAGTCCTTTGAAAGGGCCGTCACCCCCTCTGTATTAAAAAAAATCCTGGAGGTGCGCAACGAGTCCTGGGCCCAGGACACGCCGTTGATCAAATCGGCAAGAAACCTCTGAGATGGCGTTCGTCATGTTGTTCCCACCTTCCTTCAGCATCTCAGCCACTAAACCATCTTCACCGGTAGCCTTGTTCCGTTTCTTTCGAGAGATACTCCAAACAGCGTCTCCCTATTCTTCAGCTGTCTTCATCGTTCTGCTTGGTCTGGCCACCCTGGCGTCCTCCAGCGGAGCAACACACAAAAACTTGCAAAACGACGCGAATACTTCAGCTATGTCCCCCCTTCCGGATTGTATCTTTCCTTGGGAATCTCAAATGTTAGCGATGCGGTTTCCCGTTGCCGGTCGCTGTGAGGTCCAAGCAGTTTCTTTGCTATCCCTTTGAGAAAGAAAGTGTCAAGCTGATCGTTGTGTTGCTTCTGCATTTGGTCGCGGAGCGCTCTGTTCAATCGGACTGATCTATGTGTAATTAGTTACTTGCTGCTCGGTTCGTCCCTCCCTTTCTGGAGCTGATTGATGACATCGGTCGTCTCCGCGTTCGTCTTGCCCCATGTGCGCGCATCGCCACATTCACAAGCAGCCTGGCAAAGAGCCTCTACCAGTGAGGTGGCATCCCTACATGCCTCGCGCAAGGCAGCCGCTTGATCCATATGGTAATATTCCCTGTTTCCGGCTATCTCCCAACCTCTTCCCAACTTTGGGGGGGTCTATCGTTCCCGTGTTTTGCACAAACTGTCAAACTTAGACCACATTGCCGTGCGACCCGTCTCTTGCTGTAAAGCTGAAAACACAGGTGTGTGTGTGTGTGTCTCAACTGTGCTCTGAGGCGCTGGCCAGTCAACACATCATCTATATGTATCACGTCTCCTGTGCTTCATACATTGTGTCCATATGTCTATTGGCGTTTTGAAATAAGTAGTGCTTGCGATGGTAAACTCATGCTACGTTGCCCACGTCAGGAAATGATTTCCTATGCCAATACTCGCGCCCAAACCGAATTTACCAGTGCAAGCCATGTCCTCGTCGTCGTGTTGCTGGCCCTCTTTCGCCATTCGCGTCCACTCCAATGACGCACTGCCTCTTCCTCCGGCTTCTGGGGGTCGCCGATGGACGAAGCTGATGGGCAGAGTCATGGTCGCAGGCCCATGTTCCACGACTTGTGTACTCAAGTGTGTCACGACTTCCGCCTCCTGCTTGTGTCAAGGATGCACCTCTGAACGTGCCACGGTTTCCGCTGGTGGGTACAACTTGGCAAGGGCACCTGCGAGAGCGGAGGGCGCGCAGGCACGCCTGCGACAATGGCACAGACGGGGGGCGTCGGCAATGGCGCAGGACCGCGCGCAGAGGAATGCGGGAGCAGGGAGCAGAGGGAAGGGAGGAGGGAGCCAGACCGGGGGGGAGCGGGGAGGTGGGGGAGGAGGACGGAGGAGGGAGGGAGAGCAGCTCCAGCTTCGAGCACGCCATCACCGTGTCTGGAATCCTGCGGGCGCAAACGGGACACCTCCTCCATCTTCCTGATCATCCGTACCCCTCGTCTTCCTCCTTCAAATTATCTTCGTTTTCCTCCCCGTCCCCTCCTCCTCCTCCCCTTCCCTCTCCTCATCCTTCTCTTCCTCCTCCTCTCCCTCCTCCTCCTCCTCCTCCTCCTCCTCCTCACCGCCTCTTCTCACTTTTATTAGTAGTAGTATTAGTATTATGCTTATTCGTATTATTATTCTTCGTCATCATCATCATCATCATCATCATCATCATCATCATCATCATCATCATCATCATCATCATCATCATCATCATCATCATCCCCATCGTCAGCATCATCAGCATCATCAGCATAATCCTCATTCTCACTAGGATCACCATCGTTACCGTCATCATCATCAGCAACCAAAAACATCAACGCCCTCAAATATTAAATCCATGGGCATATCCTGGAGCGGTTCCTGAGAAGGAGTTCGAAGCGGGTAGAGCCGTGGCCTTCTCCTCCACATCGGCATCACCACCACCACAAACATCATAATAACAATACGAATAGTTAATGGAATACGAATAATAATAACAATAATGATAATGGTAACAATAATAATAAGCATCACCATCATCAGCATCACCACCGTCATCTTCATCAATATGCCTGCTTAACTTCTTAGATTCCTCGCGTGCTTCTCTCCCGGTGTGTCCTTCGCATTCCGTTTCCAATGTACCCTCCTCTTCTGTCATCCGTTTTCCGTCTTCCTCCGTTCCTCCTCCTCCTCCTACTCCTCCTCCTCATCGCCATCATCACTCATCTTCTGAACGGCACGATTCGTGCGGAACAGGCTACTTACGCAACTCATTCGACTCCCGCTGATATACCTACGACTACGGCCAGAATGAAATTAATCGGTAGAGTTTAAAAAGCGATTTCTCCCCACTACCTACTACCACGACTGCTACTACTACTCCTCCTACTACTACTCCCTACTCCTACTCCTACTCCTATCCTTATTCCTTATTCGAATATACTCCTACTCCCCCCTCAGGCCGGCAGATAGGGGCCGCATCCGGGTGGTCCCATCCTAACCTGTAAAAAACAATACAAAATCAACATTTGTCTTATTTTTTCCTCTCGACATGGACGTCCTGTCGTCCACGGCGATAATCCATTGCAAAAAATACCACAAAGAGCACACGCGCGCGTTCATGTCAGAATCCTACCGAACACCGTGTGTTTGCAAGCATTTCAACATAAAAACATCAAAAACCCAATGCTTTTTCACAAAAATTGTACAAATTTCCCGCCCGGGCTCTCTTGCTGAAATCATAGGAAAACCATAGGAATCTTAAGAATTCTGTCAAATCCAGCGATTTCACGTCATCGCGCGGTGCACTCGCGATGCTCTGTCATGCACCCAGGCCGCGAATCCTGTGCAAAAAATACCACAAAGAGCACACTCGCGCGTTCATGTCAGAATCCTACCGAACACCGTGTGTTTGCAAGCATTTCAACATAAAAACATCAAAAACCCAATGCTTTTTCACAAAAATGCTTTGGGGTGTCCTGTCAGACCGTCGGGCTTCCTCCGGCCACCTCTGGCTTCCTGCGGTGTACCGGGCCATTCTCGACTCGTCTGGCAATGCGTGCGCGGCATTCAACACGCGCTCGCCAGTTCCCGTCGGCAACCGCCATCGCGGCCGCATCAGCTGTACCAAACCGGCTGGCCGGTGTGACTTCGGCCCCCAGTTGTGCCAGCTTTGCTTCTTATGTTGTGGGAGGGCGGGTGGGACTGGGCATGCCATGCTTGACTCGCTCGAGCTGGCTAGCTTGACTCCTACTCCTACTCCTACTCCTCCTCTCCTACTCCTACTCCTACTACTACTACTACTACTACGACCACTACTACTACTACTACGACTACTACTACTACTACTACTACTACTACTACTACTACTACTACTACTACTACTACGACTACTATTACTACTACTACCACTATTTCTAATACTACTACTACTACTACAACTACTACTACACTACTACTACTACTACTACTACTACTACTACTACTACTACTACTACTACTTCGACTACGACTACTACTACTACTACTACTACTACTACTACTACTACTACTACTACTACTACTACTACTACTACTACTACTACTACTACTACTACTACTACTACTACTACTACTACTACTACTACTACTACTTACTACTACTACTACTACTACGACTACTACTACTACTACTACTACTACTACTACTACTACTACTACTACTACTACTACTACTACTACTACTACTACTACTACTACTACTTTTACTACGACTACTACTACTACGACTACTACTACTATTACTGCGATTACTGCTACTACGACTACTACTACTACCACCACCACCACAACCGTTGTACTACTATTACCACTACTCCTACTATAAATCATACGATTAGTACTACTGT